CTCTCTCTCTCTCTCTCTCTCTCTCTCTCTCTCTCTCTCTCTCTCTCTCTCTCTCTCTCTCTCTCTCTCTCTCTCTCTCTCTCTCTCTCTCTCTCTCTCTCTCTCTCTCTCTCTCTCTCTCTCTCTCTCTCTCTCTCTCACTTCTGCACTCGCCCTCCCGAATGCTCTGCCTCTCCTACCCTCTCATCTCTCATATGTCCCACACCTTTTCTCGTTCTTACTATTTATTTTTCTCTTAACTCTCTCTCTCACTCATTCTCTTTAATTATCGTTTGTTCTCTCCCCCCATCTCTCTCTCCTCCCACTCTCATTCTCTCCCTTACCATTGATAATCTTTTTCTAACCTGATAATGATCTCTTAAGTTCAGGCTTTGCTTTAGATAAGATTGAACCGCGTTTCTTTACTCCACGTTTTTTATAAATAGCGGTGTCACCGCCATAGTATACAATTATTTCCTAAACAAATGCTCGCCTCATTTTAGCATCGTCTTCAAATTATACGTATAAATGATTTGTCTCGTCTTGTCTTAGTACCGAGGGATTCCCAGTGGCCTTCGTCGCGTGAATGGCATATACGGTGAACACCTATCGTGGGCCGGCACCGTGTTTGGGCCTTTTTGCGGCTTTGCGTGTTTGTATTGCCGCAGCGAGTGAAGCGGCTCGCTCAAATATTGGGCTCCCGTTACAGAAGCACTTTCGCGTGCTGTAACCAATACGGAACTGAGGAGCCTCTCGCAAATCTAAAGCAAACACGTGGCGAGCGTGTCTCCAGCCGGTTCGTGTAGGAATAGCAGGAAGGGCTGTTATCTCGATGCCTACATTTTACGCGTTATCTCTAGATAATTGGTCCGCGAATTCACGGTGACACTAGCAAATGTGGGGATTCGCCCAGTTCTGTTGCACGGCACCCGTCCGTACGCCAGCCAGAAAAACACAGTCGTAGAATCTTGTATATATCTATATACAAATATTTGTATCGGAAATCGTGTGACGTTACTATAGTGTCCATTCCGCGTTGTTATCTGCGTATTGTTTCTCATGTCTCTGTCGCTTTCTATGACCCACACAGAGGTACCGCATGCGGCAGGGTCGCATCCACCTAGATCTAGATGAAAGATCCTATGTGACGGATAAGGGTTCAGCCAAGGGTCTCGCGCCGGGGGACAATGCCCAATCCCGACATGCCTTCAATCGGACAGCTAGTGACAAGATACGGAGCGACAGGTCGATTCCAGACACTAGGCACCAGCTGTGAGTATACACTTGCACACATCCGCGCTGCCACGCGCCGGTGTAGTGCCTCAGTCTCTCACTCTCACACGGCACAGCCTCCTCCTCCTCCTCATCACGACCGCCTTCTCTTCTACTTCTATCGCCTCTTTCGCCTTCTCCGCCTTTCAATAAATGACGTGGTGCTTCTTCTTCCTTCTCTACCCTCTCCGCCTACCATACTCCTACCTCACCAGCCGGCGTAATGCCTCGACCATCTCCCCTCCGAGTCTCAGTCTTCTCCTTTTCCTTCTCCTACTTCTCCTCCCATTTTTCTCCTTCTCCTGCTCCACCTCCTGCTCTTCCTCCTCCTCCCTTTCCTCTTCTTCCTCAGCCTTCTCATCGTTCTCTCATCCAACACTCCCTTTCTCTCTCTTTTTTCCTCCTCCCCTTACCAGCGAATCCAAAGTCTGGTGTCGAGTCGTGTATGCGTTTTTGCTCAGTTAAAAGCTTTTTTACTGCCAGTCTCACTACCCAGTATAGGTCTATTTCGGGGTAGGGAATTTCGTGTAGTATAGATGTAGGCATCACTCGTGTCGATTGTAGATATCCTCACCACTCCCTCGACGATTAATCATGTGTACAACATATGGAAAGTGTTTAGATCTTGAACAAAACCCCGTTATTCTTTTATTTAGGATGATATTCCCCATGGTGGTGTAGACTACGGTATATATTATATATATATTATACGGTATTTATTAGCTCTTGATATATATATAAGGAAGTTTGTCTTTATTAACTCCTGATATTATATATATATATATATATATATAATATCAGGAGTTAATAAAGACAAACTTCTGTTCTTTATTAACTCCTGATAATATATATATAAATCCATACGTGATGGATGCTGTTCCATTCCGTTGCTTGGCGTAGTCATCTACAACGGCGAAGCTAGGGATTTTCGCGTCCGTGAACTTTGACCGCCACGCTGCGCTGCACGATTTTACGGCGTACGGCTCAGACACCGCCAAAAATCGCACAAGCGAGGCTTCTCAATGCCGAAAAAAAACATGAGTGCTACATTGAAACCACGTGTTTAAAATAAAGAGGTTTAAATTAGCAATACGACAGGCACACTTTATGGGGTTCATTCGCAGCGAAGTGTCTGGCGAAGCTGTCTAAAATGAATTAGAGGGAAAATCCAAAGTGAAACAGATGGTAGTGCTATTCTATCGGTGCAGTTAGCGATATTAGCTTAGCGGAATTTGTCAGCGGTTCGACAAAAGGGGTGGCACACGATACAAATGAATTGCCCGCTTGCCTTATTTACTGTTGAGCTATTATGAAGCGATGCGTAACTACTGAATAGATAGCAAGCAATGAAGAGACAATATATGGGTGAGGTGGAGACAACCAGAAATGAAAACAACTGTAGCTACGATATAGCGCAAAGAGGGAAAGGGGACTGTGAAAACGAACGCGCGATATCGGGGCCGATACCTCATTTAAAGGGAATTACGACACGGCATCACAATATGGAAGGTCGACGTTAGAGAGTCTGCGCGGAGAGAGAATGTAGGACGAGAAGCCATCGTGCGCGCGCGGCATCAGCTGCTCGCATATTGGTTTATCTCAAATTTAATCATCGCTCGCGCAGACGGCCGGTTTGCGATGGCGTTGCCAAGATACCCTCCTCAGCGCCGCCTCAGGTGATATTCCATATCATTCCCCCGCGGGTACCTCACCATAATTTCCGCTCATATTGAATCTAAAGCAATCGGGCTTTGCTCGATGACGGGATATTTGCGAGTAGGACCCTGCGCAACGGATGGTCGGCGGCGTTTCGCTTGAGCACGATCCACAGCGGGTACGGGGAGCGATGCCTAAAGCGTCTGGGCGTGCGATACCAGTAAGCCGATGCTCTCCAAGGCATAGAGGTGGAGCGAAGCAACGCAATAAACCTCTGCGACGTATTGAACGAGAACTATATAGTGGTAATTAACAACTTCCAGCCGATAAACGCAAATGCAAGGATCGGAAGAGAAACCTAATCGTTAACTCACACAGAGCTTGTCATCGCGATGGAGCGTGATACAAAGCACGCGCTGCATCCCCCTGTACAGTCGTCAATGAATCGTCTGCAGCGGTAACTACACCTGTGCGGTGTTCGTACAATGACAGATGCACCGAACATTCATGAAAAATGGTAAATTTAGTCCAATATCAGAACGTATTACACAATATGGCGTGGCTAAGCGAGGTACCTAATGCACGGCAGACGAGAAAAACACTGTTTACACTTGTCTAGCGAACATCTGTCAGCAGTTGTTGTGATACGCACGTGTAATACCGGTAGCGTCTGTGACCAAATACTAAAATACACTACGTGTGAGAGAAGCTTTGCCATCCATCAGATCAGGAGTGTATCAATACGCTCCTGATCAGATCAAGAGCGTATAAAGAATGGTTCTTTATACGCTCTTGATCAGATGTAGTCGAGTGGCGCATGCTTGAATCGCAAACACGATGAAATAATGTATTTGTGTCCGCTATTAACTAGGTGGGTTAGTGTCTAAATTACGAACTAGTGTGTGTGGAGGTGCGGCTGTGGGTAGTAGTAAAAATCATACATATACAGCAAGAGCTCATAATAGAGATCTATCTATGATGAGCTCTTGATATACAGTGTATGTTCGAATTCGCGCACACCATCCGCGATATGCATCCGCATAGCACACAGTATACGTGTATTGAACGAATGGAAGCAAGGTTCTGCGAGAGATTCCGGTTTCTTGACATTTGCTAGCGTCACAATATCAGACGGGCGTGACCTCATTAGGAGCTCATTTATTTTTGTAGAGTAAAAATACATTTACAGCTAGTCTTGCCCCCGCTGTTTGTGAATCTACAAGAGTGACGTGTGGTCTGCTGCGTTTTTTAATGTAGCATATCGATATGTTAACGTGAAACTCAGATGTGAGTTATCCGATTCCAATTTTCTGCTTCTCACCATGCATACCGTGCTTAATACCACGACTGTGAATTAATAAATTCGCATCATTTTCAACAAACACGGAGAGGTTTTCTAATCGGCTACTATGTATTAAACGACAATATCATCTAGCTCCTCCTGTAAATCATCTATCTGATAAGCCAATTTGTTAATGCGGTCATATGTCTCCGGAGACCGCAATCGTGTGACTGGGAAGGAAAAATATCGTGAATTTTTTAAGGATATGCAGAAGTATCTGGATCGTAGCTATAGTAGTTGAGTGTGTTGTGACTTGTGAAGCCAATAAAATGGTTCCAACTCAACCATTCTGCGCATGAAATATAAATATCTGTAGTTTAACCCATTAACTAAACAGTGGAGGGGAGCCTCACCGAATACTTTCTTAATAGGGAGGTGCCCCACTCCCGGATCTCATCGTCTTAATCGTTGCTTCGCCTCCCATATGACCTCCATCTGTATTCTCCACCAGGCACGCAATCGTGACCCTCGATATAGCCTTTATTGCGCTAACGTTTCCGTTACTCTTCAAACGAAGTCATTACAAGCGGCTATAGGCAATCGGTCGTTTTGACATTCTGAAATTTTATGTGACTTTTTACGTGCGCAAGGGTGTGTTCGTTTCTGTTATTTTAACTACACAAGCTGGTTAAGTGCGAAACAAAGGAGGCTCATGCAAGCGATATCACATTATTATGGCCAAGGGAAAAGTGTCCGCTAGTGGTTGACTGGGTGGCAATTCCTGATAGACCTGAAGTAGACCCCAATGTATACACGTGGAACTAACGGTAAACATTTCGTATTCACGAGTTCATCGAGTTCCAAGATTTCTGTGGCTGCTATGGCATAACATATGCTGACTTCACTTATCAGTCTTAGGCGTGCATTAATCTTATAGACTCACCGTCATATAGGCGTCTTAGACTGCAGTGCCTCATCCACGCGATGCAAGAGGATTGTCACTAGAGTTTGTAATCAAACACAAAAGGAGTAATCTAGACGAATGCGGTACAGCCGATAGCGTATCCCCTTCATTATTATTTTCATGAAGAAGGGTTCCTTTGCTTGCGCCTTATAGCTGTAGTCGTCTGCCCCGGTTTTACATAACATATTTGCGCGAAGGTATTATATGGAAACGGACGCCGTTAGTACTTGATAATAGCATAGGACGATTCTCATATTTTATTAGGTAAAACGTGCTGGAGTTGCTGCGATATAGGAAGATCATCCCGTAAGGATAATTTTTCAAATGGAGCCAAAGATTACGTACAGATGAACATTTTATAAGCTAACTATGAATCATAGTGCATTACATGGTGAATTATCAGTGTCCGTGCCTCACTAACGAGAACAGCTACATTTCCGCTAGAAACCCCCTATTAATATTCATATAGAATACGTTAGGCGTACATATAGCTGTCGCGGACACTCGCACACAGAGGTGGGAGCATATGCCACTAGACGAATGTAATCATTTGCAGAATAGAATATGTACTAATATGTAATAAACACAATTAGTAGTACAGTAATAACGTTTGTGTTATCACCGAGCATTGCGTGTTGAACATGCGATCGTCTGATGTAGCCATAATTAAAGATTTGTAGTTTAAACACATTGTTGGTCACGGCACTGTTAATCGAAAGATAAAGAATGAGTAGGCCTAAAACTAAATTCTTTTTAATTATTCCTGACCGTATATATCCTATCTTTCGCTCGCCGGGTCTTTCATCGAGCGCTATGAGAGCAGCGGCTCGCAAATAGATTTAATCCCGCAAAGGGCGTACTGGAATTAAACGATTAAAATAAATCATATCGAGTTTTAGAGAGTCGTGTGTAATACCTCGCGCTTGATGGGCAATCAGTGTAATCCTGAAAATCAAGCATGCTGGGCTTAGAGGGATGCTCTTACATCGCTACATATGTTATACTTGTTATAAGTTACAAATGGCATATAGACTCATCCAATCATGGTAAATATTTGTCGGTCTTTAAAAACACGTTGTTGTTAGATAGCTGACAATT